TCTGATGGGTTATACATTTCTTCCTAATTTCTTGACATTCAATCCGACCATTCAGAAGCATGCAAGAGGAAGTGCTCTGTAACCTCCCTGCCATTCCATTTTTCTCCCTTTGTGTCACAGATTCAGTGGGAATTGAGGAATATTTGGACCCTAATAATAGTCAGATGTTTGGCTATGGTTCATGTAGACCTGTCTAGATAGTCAGAACATGAAGGCTGAGCAGCAAGGTGATGAAAGTAAAGAAAAAGGAAAAGAAACAAAAAAAGAGAAAGAAGAAAAACAAAAAGTCAACAACAAAAAGCAATAGTTTACAGCTCCAATGGGAGAGTCTTCTCTGAAGGCCTGTGGTTTTTGCCTTTCCTAAATGCGAAGGAGGGAAAGGGGCAAATTAGCAAAATAAAGGAGGATCTGAGAATCAAGAAAATATTTTATCTTAAAAAATTATTTTAAAAATGAAAAATAAATTAAAAGACAGAAAGACAGAGACAGAGAGAAGGATACAGGGGTGCCCTACCACTCTGGAATGGGGTCTGGAGGATGAAGTTTTGGCATACAATCTTCATTAGTCTTAGTCCCTGAAAGCAGGGGTTCACAGCTCCAATCAGAAGGTATTACTTTTCTAGCACTGAAGTCTGGTGCTAGGCTCAGCACGGTGCCAGCCAGGCCTCACAGGACCTTCAGTGTCCACAGCTTTTATTGGAGTGCCTTTATTTAAGTATGGTTGACTGCCCACTTGTCTGATCTCAGTCTCCAGTCCCTCTGGAAATCTCACTGATACTGTGTGATATAAAGTCCTTCTCCCAAATCACATTGTTAATTATCTGGCTTACCCAAAGCCAGCAGGCAAGAAAAGACACTCCTATCAGGCCACTACAAGGGCTTAGCGATTACCACCAGAAGAAGCTAAGGGCAAAGCCCAACTCTCTCTATTCCCATAGGCCAGACTAAATTCTTTAGTAGGTAGGAAATTATAATGGTGATTGACTTTTCAGATACTATTATAAGTGTTTGTTGATATGTATGTCTACTATAATAGGGATGAGATTCTTGAGTTCAGAGTCTATGCAACATGAAATGTCTGCGTGCTGGATAAACAAGATTAAAGGAATCCTGTGTTTGGTATACACAATACACAATATAGGAGCCTCAAATGCCTCAGGCTAGGAAATGTGGTTTTAAATATTTGAAAAATGTGTATTAGTCTTTCAACTTCTCTTGGTCCGACAATGAGCAAAAGTTTTTATTTTATCAGTAGGAAAGTCCCTGGAAGATTACTGCTCTGAAGAATCCCTGCTCTAAGTCTTTAGTGAAAGATGTACTCAAGGATTTATTAGACTTCAGAAGGGCATAGTTCTCCAAAGTGAAGGCTTGTTGCCCAAACCAATGCATATCTGACTAGAGAAGAAAATAAGTGAATTGTAAAACGTTTCATAGTTTGACAGGCTTCTGATTTACCTCAGCACAAAGGAAGATTAAAACAGCCCTCAAAGAAAAATGTCATCTTATTTGTTTGACTAGCAGACTTATTCTAACCACTTGTCTCCCTCATTACCACTGGAAAAATAAAGGAATAGCTGAAAATAAAAACATAAAAGAATATGAATAAAAGGTCAGAATTAAATAGATATATCAGAATTTCTTTTGATGTTACAAACTTAAATTATGTCAACAAATAGATATAAACACTATTAGGTAACCAAAATATGCAATATTTAAAGATATTAGGAAAAAAGACATAATAGAAAGAAAAAGAATCACCATTCCTGTAAATCTATCAATAGTATTAAATCTATGTACTCACTTACAACATACCATTCTGTCTATTACACATTCTCCATCTAGAGTCATTTTTAAAACTATTATTTATACAATTGCTATACATAATTTAGATTTTAAAGAGAATTTACCCAGCATGATAGAGTCATTTCTTTTTCTTTTCCCTATAGAACATGTTATAAGGATGAAATAAAGTAAAGTCCCTTATGCTTTCATTTTAAGTTGTTTGGGATACAGTTTTCACTCTCAGAAAGCAAGGCAGTTAGTAAAAAAAAATTAAAATGCTGCATTTTTTGAAAATGGGAGTACGACCCTACACAACTTGAGTACAGGAAGCCATGTCAATTATTTTATGAAAAAGTGCTATGGTGGTGGCACCTTGATCACTTCACTGAGGTCCTCTGACTTGACCTGCTAGAGTACATCTTTGACAATCTTGAGGCAGCTTTGTTAGGTCCAAGATGTGACCTTTAATAAAGCTCTTTGCATTATTGATTTTTAGTCTTTATACTAGGAATTATGCATTCTGCATTTATTATCGTGTTCTCAGAGTTACTTTTTTCCCACTTCATGTATTATTTGAGAATCTTATCAGGGTCCAATTTCATTTACTCCACAGTTCTTAATGCAATTGTTACCACAAATTTTAGTATTGTAACTATGACAAAATAAGGGATTTTATTTTAATTTTAGCAGTCAGTATTCTTTTAAAGGAGTTGAGAGAAGAAAGAGAGAAAAACGTTTATATTCATCCACACATTTACATATTGGGTGTTCTCATTCTTTCTGGTTGATTCATGGTCCCCTACAGTCCCATTCCCATTAGCCTTCACAGTTCTAGTAGTGCAGATGTGCTGGAGATAAACGTTCATTTCTAACCTATCTGAAAAATCTCTTCGTTTATCTTTATTGTGAAGGATACCTTTCATTGTATATATTTTGGTTAATTTGCTTGTTTTTTTTTCTCCTAGTTTTTTAAAAATATATCATTCCATATTCTTCTGATTTATATTTTTCTGATGATAACTTCAGCCATCATTTGTCTCTTTGTATGTGATTACATGTATTCTATGAGTAGTTTACCTATAGTTTCTCATGTGCCTGGGTGTGCTTAAGCTTATATTTTCCCTGCTTGAGATTTTCTAAGTTTCTCAGATATGTAAATGAATGTTTTCACAAAATTTTGGAAATTTGTAGTTACTATTTACTTTTGCTCTATTAATTTCTTTTTCTTTTTGCCAGAGGACATGTGTACTCAGAGTGACTTGGAAAGGGGAAAGCACCATCACAGAGAACGGGTATACCACAATCCCTTTTCCATTTCTCCCTCCTTTTTTAGCTTTTGGGCATACTTGTATATGCACCTGACATTTTTCTCTAGCTTCCAGGTCTGGGACTCAGACCACGTGGGCAGCCATGCAAGATACAGCAGGCTTAACCATGAGGTTATGGAGCCAACCCATGCCCCATTTGCTGCATCTTTTCCTTCTAGACCTTCAGTTACACATTTGTCAGGTTGCTTGTTGTGTTCCCCAAGATACCTGGCTCTTAATTTATTTTATAGATTTTTTTCTTTTCTTTATGCCTCCCAGACTGTATAATTTCTATTGATCTGTCTTCACATCTACTGGCCTATTCTTTATAATTGTCAACCTGCTATTAAGTCAATTGAGTGAATTTTTTGATTTGACATATATGCTGGGAGGGCGGGGAGAGTCCTTAAACTGTTTACAGAGAATGTGTTTTATGAAAAAAAATTATGCATGCATTTCAAAACTTTTTTGCACCAAAATAAACTAATTTGTTATAACATGTCCTAACAGGATCTTGCTAGAGGCACTAAGAAGGATAAGACATCAGTTTGAAAAGAGCAACATGAATGAATTCTGCTAAAATCAAAGCAAGAATAAACATCAAATATATATGACGCTTGGGTGGATGAATGATGGAATCACTGATGCTTTACAAAAAGCTTATGAGGACAATACCCCAAAGAAAGTAGTAGTTTTCAAATTGTTAACTCATTTTAAGAATGGATGAAATAATCTTGAATATGATACCTGCAGTGGTGTATTAAACATATTGATTTGCAAAGAGAAAATTAATCTCATTAGTGCCCTAATTGGCCAGCAGAAACAATAGCTAATGCCATAGACATTTCAAGTGGTTTAGCTTACATAACTCTGACTAAAAAATTAAAGTCGAGTAAACTTTCTGCTCAATGTGTGCCAAAACTCTTAGAACCAGATCAACCACAGATAAGAGCAGAGCTTTTAATAGACATTTTAAACAAGTGAGAACAAGATCCAGAAGCATTTATTCAAAGAGTTCTAGCAGAGATGACACATGCATGACTTGGCCAGTATAATCATAAAGAGAATGCACAAGGCAGTGGCTACCAGGAGGTAGAAGTGATCTAGTCAAAGTAAAAGTGGACCAGTCAGGAACAGCAGATGATGTAATGGTTACATCACTGGATCCTATGTAGGCAATTCGAGTCCCAGACCTGGTGGCTTAAAACTCACTCCAGGTGCACGTGTGTGCATGCCCCAAATCTCAAAAGAATAGAAGAGAAGGGATTGTGGCATGGCCATTCCCCCTAGAGGGTGATTTCTCACTTTCTGTCTCTCTGTCTCTGTCTCTCTGATGAGCTCACACACCCTATAACAAAAATCTCTCTTAACAAAAAGAAAAGTAATAAGGGACCAGTAGTTGGCGTAATGGTTATGTTGCTGGACTCCCATGTAGTTGACTGCAGTTCAAGTCCCAGATCTGGTGGCTTAAACTCACAAAGGGTGCATGTGTGGGCATGCCCAAGATCCCAAGAGGAGAATGGAGGAGAAGGGATTACAGTGTGGACATTCTCCCTGGGGGGTGGTGATTTCTCACTTTCTGTTTCTGTCTTTCTGGCAAGCACATGCACCCTATAGCAAAAACCTCTGCAAAAAAAAAAAAAAAGAAAAAAAGTAATAACAAGAGTGGACCGGTCAAGAATACAGATCATGGCAACAGTTTTTTGGAGGGATACACAAGACATTTTGCTTATTGACTTGTTCGAGGGCCAAAGAATAACATATGCTTATTATGAGAGTGTTTTGACAAAAGCAGTCAAAGCTTTAGCAGAAAAACTCTAGGAAAGTTTTACCAGAGTCTCCTCCATCCCAACAATGATCATTCCTCATTAAACAATGGTAATTTTGTTCAGTTTTCAATGGCAAATTATTAGGCATTTACCTTAAAGTCTTGATTGGTTCTTCATGACTTCTTTCAGTTTCCTAATCTGAAAAAGAAAAAGAAAAAAAACCTTAAAGGGCAATCACTTTTTTTTTTTCAATCTACAGTAAATAATGTAGAAAGTAAGCAACAAAAAACTCTATTGACATAGCTAAATTCCCAGGACCCTCAGTTCTCTGAGGATGGACTACATGTTTGGTATAATTGCTTATAAAGGTGTCTTGAACTTGATAGACCTTATGTTGAGAAACAAGGTTTATATTTTATATTTTTATCTTTTCTTAAAAGAATTATTTAACTTTATTTATTATTATTATCATTATTATTTTCCAGTTTGATCAGAGAGAGACAGAGAGAGAGAGGAAGTGAAAAAACCAAGCTACCAGGTCTGGGACTTGAACCATGGTTGGCCATGTGGGAGTCCAGCACCTTTAACCACTATGCCACCTGCTGGCCCCTTGTTTTTATCTTTTAAATTCATTTTTACACAGACTTTTAGAAGTCCTGTTGTCTGCTCTTCAGTTCTAGAAATTGAATTATTTAGTTTCCATTTCTCTGCTCACTTTTTCATCTGTTTATTTTTTATGTCCATCTTTTCTTTTGTGTCTCTGAACTTTCTTACTCTAAAGTTCTTCTCTTAAAAAAAAAAAGAGTTCTTGTCTGAAGATTATAACCTTTGGGTATTTGGAAATCTATTTCTATTGACTATATTTTTCATTCTTTTGGTACTTAATCTCTTGCTCCTTCACAAATCTATCAATAGTAAATTTTTTATTTTATGTATGACATGGTGATGATTACTGTGTCTCCATTATGTTGTCTTCTTTTAAATTGTGTTGTATTTTGCTCTGTCAGGAAGTTAAATTACTGGCAAAGCTTTGTTTTGTTTTTGTTTTTGTTTTTACGACTTGATTTGTTTATTTATTTTTTGCTAGGGCAAGTCCTAGTGCATGTCTCTTACTTTACAGTGGCCCTTATTCCATAGAGCTGGCCTTTCTGAGGTATCTACTAAATGACTGAAATACACAGTGACACTAGAACAGTACTCAAACTTCTCCCAGCACTGTAAGACCTCTCCATCTTTGTTACAGATAGCTCTGAACTAACAGCAACCCTCTGCTGGAGCTCGTAGTATCTCTTTCTATATGTGTCCTGTGTCCTTCAGTCAAGAACTGCGTCAGTGGATTTATAGAACTGCATTTCAATAGAGCCCCCTTATCTCAAGTTCCATATCCCAGAATTTCTAGCTCTTTTGTAGTTTCAAACCCTTTTATTCCCCTCTATATCTAGTGAGACTGCTAGCCTCTGCTTTGACTTCACCTCCTTGAACCATGGTTTGGAAAATGTCACCAAACAGGATGTGGCGATCACCTTGCCGTCTTTTCTAAATGATTGTTGTTCTGAGCTGTCTGTGTCCAAAGCCAAAAGACAATTGTATCATCTATTTTATCAAATTTTATAGTTTTCAAAAGGAGGGCCAGTCTAGTACTGTTTGCTTTCTCATGTTCTACAAAAGAATTCTAATTTTTCTTAGTGCATGCAGACATAGGCCAGGAAAGACTCTACGTTTCAAAGCATTAGAGACTATGCCATAGATTGCTGACAATGTATTCAGCACATAATCATTGCTCAGAGAATATAAATTCAAAATATTCAATTAAACTGAAGTTATTTGATAAGGCTGAATTTTCCTTTGCTAAGATCTCTAAAAATCCTTATTCTTTTTTGTTGAATATACAGAGTATGGCATTGGGGTTAAAATGTATTGATTTCAAGAGAATAAATATTACATAGAATTCAATTAAAAGTGAAACCTTATTACCATCTCTAGAGTTCTTAGGCTAAGTTTTTATATCATCAACATTTATGGATAAAACATAAAAATTTAATTATTTGAATAAAATTTAGTTTGCCCAATGCCCCAAATACCCATATATCTAATATCTCACTTTTTATTCACATATAGCAAAATTTGTACACAGTTCTCAGGAAAGTTTGCAAAGCTAAAATATTTCCACGAATAGATTACAATTAAAGGAAAATTTTTCCCATAAAGAAAGAGACCCAGGAGAAAATCTTTCAGTGACATATTACTTGTTGAACTGAGATGAGCAGTTAAGTAATCCTGCTTTTATGAGATCAGCTGATACTGAGTCCCTGATAACATTTCCATCAAAGTAGCCTGAAATATTATGATGAATATTCAAAATTTTACTTTTATCAGCCTTATAAAGGATGCTTTTATAATAGTTTTTTCTGCCCGTTTGATTTTGTTATAGCTTAATACAAGACTGAAAGTTGAAGAATGAATGAAAGAAAGAGAAGATATCTTCTACCAAGTCTTGAGGAAAGACGATGGGGGAGAAGAGTCTGCTCCCGAAATCTGCTATTTGTGATTCTGCTGTACATGTTTTAAAGAAAATTTAAAAATCAAAGAATGAAAGTAGACTTATGCTTACAAGTTTGTCTGCATATAAAACATTATGTTTATTACTTACAGATTGTATTTCTTCCTGAGTTCAGGAAGTAATACTAAATGAACTCTTAGTAAAATTATTCCATTACTTTTTACTCATTCTACATTTATTAAGCAGCTACTATGTAAGCCAGAAATAGTTTGTTTTCTTTATGTCAGCTATAAAGAGCAGTAAAAGAGGTGAGGATCTGCTCTTTGGGGATAATTATGGCCTTAAAGTTAATTCCATTTGCTGAAACTTTTCTACTAAGGAACAAAATTACAAATTGAGTGCTTTTTGCTTCTCCAGCCAAAACGGACTTTCTAGGTCAGCCCCATAGTGCAGTAGTTAAGCATTATATCAGGAGCTGTATGCCATATGGCTAACCAGGCTTCAAATCCAGGACCCAGCAGCTCGAGAAATATACCAAGCAAGTATGTGTGTGTCGAAAATCCTGACAAGAAGGACAAATACAAAAGGTACAAATATATGGTAATCTGGACCAGAGCAGGAGGACAGGAAGGGTCAAAAAAGTACATCCACAAAGCATCCGCAATCTGTATGTGCTACAATCCCTTCTCCTCCATTCTCCTCTGGGATCTTGGGCATGCATGCACACAAGCCCATCGTGAGTTTAAGCCACCAGATCCAGGACTCGAACAGCAGTTGACTACATGGGAGTCCAGCAACATAGCCATTACACCAACTGCTGGTCCCAGTAAATGGATTTTTTAAACAATTCTTTTTTTGAAAGAATTATTTATTTTATTTTATTTTATTTTATTTTATTTTATTTATTATTAGTAGTTTTTTTAAATTTGCTATAGGGCATGTGCACTCACCAGAGAGAATGAGAAAGCAAGCCACCAGATCTAGGACTCAAATCATGGTCAGCCATGTGGAAGACCAGTGTTCTAACCACCACGTCACCCACTGGCCTATAAGTAGGATTTAAGACCTTGAGAATGAGTGAGATCACCAAGAAAATAATGAATGTTAAGAGTCTAAGAAGATGAAGAGGAGCCAGGAGAAGAGATGCAAAATAAACAGCCAGTGTTATATGAGGAAAACTAAGAAAGCATGAGTTCTTAGAAGCCAAGTAAAAAAAATGTGTTTCAAGGCAAGTGCTATTGCCAGATTTAAAATAAAAAAAGGAGTACAATAACTCATTTTGAATTTACCATCATGGGTGTTACCTGTGACCCTAATAAGACCACTTTCAGTGGGGTGGTTGAAGCAAAGACTTAATTGGTGTGGTTTAAAAGTAGAAGAAGAGTTAAATTGGAGACATCAAGTTGGCAGTGATATTTCAAAACGCTTTCATTTTTGTTTTTTGTATTGTATAATAATAAAGAGAAATGGGAAGTATTTGTAAGAAAAAGTAGAATCAAGAGCGGGTTATTTTTAAGATGGGAAAATTCACAACTTATTTACATGCTTGTAAAAAGTATCCCCAATAGGGAAAAGAAAGAATGGAGAATTAAGGGAGAAATTGTCTTGACTATGTGATAAAGGCATTCCTTTAAAGCACAGAGTCTGGGCTTTAGATGAAGCAACAATTCATCCATAGTTATAGGAGGAAAAGTAGATAGTCATGGATGTTGGGTGAGGGTAAATGTGTGGGAGTTTGTGGATGTTTCTATGTGACTGCTTCAATTTTCTCAAGAGGCTGACAAAATGATCTTCAGCTGAGCTCAAGAGTGGTGAGGACATGTCTAGAATTTTATGAGAAAGGAGAAAAAGTGAAATAGTTATCACAAAAAATGGGATGAGTGAATATCATGAGGAAGTAGAATATAAGCATCCAGTAGGATAAAATACCCCTGCCATGGTCTGAATGTATTCTTCAAAATTTATATGCTAAGATGTAGTTGACAATGTGATAGTAGTAAGAAGTGGGGCCTTCAGAGGTAAGTCATGAGTATGAGCACTCACGAATGAGATTGGTGGCTTTCTAAAAGAGATTTGAGGGAACCGTTTCCCCTTCCACCATGTGAGATGCAACAATGAGACTCCATCTAAAGAACTCACCAGAAACTGGGACTCCAGTGCCTTACTCTTAAACTTTCCAGCTCCAAAACGGTGATAAACTTTTTTTAAAAAAAAATTTCTATAACGCAATTGTTGAGAGAGTTTGAAAAGGTATGCTAATGATGATTATCTATAGAATTCAAAAATAGAAAGTAGTTATAAAGGCCATGATGAGGGAGAAGGAGAGTCAAAAGGTATAGAATCAATGAATTGTAGGTTATGATGAGGTTGGAGGATGTTTATATTTTGGCATTTCAGTAGATGTTTTCAAATTTTTGTATGTGTTCACACACATACACACACATGTGCACATCAGTATAGCTATAGCAATATGACCAGGCAAGCTGAAATTTTACTAAGACTCAAATAACATTTGTGAGAAGGTGTAGGGTGCCAATAGTTGAAGGAAGTACAGAAACTATGTAGTTGAAAAGGCAGTTATTACCTTCAAGGAGCTAATAGTCCCAAGTAAATATAGGCATGCCAACAGACACATATATGCAGCCTTCATTAGTCTTGGAACTCCATAGATACAGTCTACTGCATACTCTAAACCATA